TAGTAAAATTGTATTGTGTAGAAACGTTACAAATTATCGCAATTTACCGTGATTTACAAAAAAATATTGCATTGTATTTTTTTTATTATGCATACAAAAAGGATTAAAAAAATGTTTCTGCTATTACACAGTGTTTTCGAGCATCATCCGGATTTTTCCATTCAACATTATTGCGTAAACCTACAATTAAAAAAAAATTGATACCCTTCAATAATATTTTGAAAAAAATTTGTCACAATTTGGCTATTAAAGTCATTTGATTCCTTACCTGGCGTTTCATGTTTTAAACATAAAACAGAAAAAATAAAATATGTTAATGCAGAAAGTGTTGCAAATGCTGAAAATATTCTCATAGTTATTGTACCGCCAAATGTTTTATATGAGACACCTATTATAAAATTACCAACTGAGAACCCTAGGAATATTGCAACATTTTATTAGCAATTGCAAAAAAAAAAAATATATATATATATATATATATGTATATATCATATAATTGTATGTAAGGAATCTTACCGAAACTATCATGCATGCCTTGAACAAGTCCTTGAACAGTAACTGACGTACCGGGAGGTGTTACTACGTTCGCATAGGCCGATATAGCTGCTATGCAAAGTGCATACGATGACCCGTGCATGATTAATTCTATCGGAATTATCCACCATGGTGTTGGAGATAGAGATATTAATCCCCACCGAATTGCATAGCATATAAAGCAAAATATAATAGTGTAACTATATCCAAGCTTCTTTATTATTTTGCCTAAACAGAATGCAATATATCTTTTTAGGAAAAAAAAAATGATTTTAGTTATAGTTTTAGTTATTGTTTAGTTACAAATTGTAATAAAAATAAGTTACTAATATATTACCAGAAAAAAAAAGAAATGCAATTTCGCCACCGAAAGTCTCCGCTATTATGATTAATCCTTCTATCAATTTAATTTTATTCATATAACCAGTCGCAATAGCGAGATCTTCTAAATACCTATAAGTCAAGTTACATTGATAACTAATTTTATTTCAATTTCTACATTTTATGAAGTGTCAAAAAACGAATACACGCATATATTGCCGCCGCGATGGAAATAAAAGTTTACCAAAATAAATAGTTACGCTTGATGGCATTAAGGATACCGGCAAATGCAACAAAACACAAAAATATAACAATAGATTTAGATTTTAAAAGTATAAACACATCCTTCAATATGGTTGTCGATCCTTTTTCAAGTGGCATCTTTAACAAAAATTTGTGATAACATGAGAACATAAAAACAAAACTATGTGCTATTATTACTTTAGTATATTTTTGAATTTGCAATGCATAAAACGCAATCTCACCTCCAATTTTATACAACAGATCAAATTGACACAAATAAATACGAGCGCGAGAATAAGCATTGGGGTATAATTTTGATAAATTCCGTTTGGCGACCATAAGTCCATCATATATCCAGATAAACATGCTGCAACACCGTAACCCATCGTGGCCCATAATCGCTGTTTGCCAAATTTTGACTGTTTACCTTGTCCTGGAAAGGCAAACTTTATTTTAGAAATAGTAATTTCACTTTACATAATATTATTAAATAAAAAAACTATAAAATTATTTATTATAATAATTTACTTTTTATGGTTAATTTATTAATAATTTATGGCTAAAATTTTATACGTCAGAAATTAACTCTAAAATTTATGTTTATAAAGTTACACACCTAGTATGTGAAAACACATTGCATCGCTTATGCTCATGGAAGTAAAATAACTAGTCTCGGCAAGAGACCACAAGAAGACAAAACTCCAAAAAGTGTTAGATGCATATACACATTGATCTTCGAAATTATCACAAGTAACGTTGCAATTATAATTATTTGTCACATTTTTTTGGCTCAATGACGTCTCATTGATATTTAATAAGCATGCAGTATCTGGTGAGATAATTGCTCTCTGTTGGTCTGGGTAAAAAGACAATCCCATAGAAGATCTCATATTGTTACATATCCAGCGACACGTAGTGTCTTTCGTACCATTACACGATGCAATTGCTAATGCATGCTTGAATAAAAATCAAATTACAAATGAAATTAAACATATTCTTTTTTGACAAGCACTAACAATTATATTTTATTGAAGTGCTGTTTTAGACTTTTAGAATATTTAGAAAAATTTTTTATTCAAATTATACGTTGTTTCAGAAAGTTTTAAATTATATTTAAAATATATATTATATACACAATAAAATTATACAATAAATTATTTATATCTAAATTTATATAAATTAATATTTTATAAAAGAATATTATAGACGTTTCACTATTAACGTTTTATCATATTTAAGAAAATTCACAAATCCGAAAAAATGAAAACTTACATTTTCCATATCGCAAGTCGATAAAGATGCATAAGAAATATTTTGAAAATGCTGATCCAGCAACATTGGCCCCGGCAATGACGGTAAAAAGAATATCGAAACATAAGAGCAACTTGATAGCGCGACCAATACTATAAAGATCAATTTTTTCCATTGCGAATAGTCCATGATAAAGCCACATACTGGTTTCGTTATCAGATGCAGTATTGAAAAAAATGTGCCAATGATACCTATAACTAATGGCGAAACACCAATTTGCTTTCCATAAACTGGAATATATGGATAAGAAACACCAGTACCTAAAATAATATAATGGTATTATTAAATATATATAATATAATGTAATGTATTAAAATGCAGTGTATTTCTTAATTAATGTTTATATGTTCCGTAGTACAGATTTGTATATTAAATATAAAAATAATTTTTTTTGTTTTAAACTCTACTTTAAATTTAAAATTTTATAATCTGTGCATGTAAGAAAGAGGATATCATTAAGTATATGTATTTAATGATTATACTTACTCGCCACGAAAAAGAAATAATGCGCCTTTATACACAGATGCCCGTAATTGATCTTCATGATTTATATTTGTGAGAAAAAATAAATTGTGATATCTTCATCAAATTTGTGTCTCGCTACTTTGCACTCTTACATAGAAATTTCAGGTAGTCAAATCTGTCAAGAACAGATTTTGAAACTGCTTGCTAAAAATGTCGATAGAATGTCGGCAGAAATATAACAGAACATAACGGCAAATTGACTGCAAAATCTG